TATATTGTCACATGAAGTACATAAAAATGTATTGACAATACTTCTGAGGCCAGCAGATAAACAGAGGCATTTGGCATTCATGAGCTTTCCACTTCTTAACCAAGTACTTGGAAATCACATCTCCCTTTTTATATACCTTTAACAAGGGTGTCAAACTGGTGGCCCACAGCCTGGATGCATCACACATAGGCCACACCCACCCTAGCTGCTCAAAGGGGGGGAGTCACAAAATGTCATGTGATGGCAACGTGACACTATGAGTTTGACACCCATGTTATACAAAGACCTGCATTAAAAAGGGAAAATGGATAAGCTTCTATAGACATAGAGAATTCTTTTGTATCCTTAACCAAAGCATAATATATGGAGAGCTTAGACATGTAAGTTAGCTGGATGACTTTAGGCCAGTCACTCTCTCTCTCAGCCTAACCCACAACACAGTGTTCTTCTGGAGAAAATTGGAGGAGGAAAGAGTATTAGATAAGTTCACGAACTTGAGTTACTACAAAGTAGTAAAGGCGGGATTAAAAAATAAATAATAAATTAAAAGAAAAAATATTCAATTTAATATTTCCTAGCATCACTTTGCTCTTGGTTTCCTTGTCCTGAATTCCTCTCAGTCCTTTGAGGAAGTCCAGGTAGGAAGCCAAAAACATGAGTACAGGGTACAGTAACAGAATCTTGCAAGTCTGAAAGCATTTTTCCTGCTCCCCTCCCTTTACTTTCTAGAGACTAGGGAATCTCTTTTGAGACACGTTCTCAAGGGTAACCCTTCCCTCCTTTGGAGTCAGATTTTATATATCAGACCGTTTTATAAGCTGTGACTATTCTTCCTGTTTCCCAAGGTTATTGTAGTCCATTATAGTCCCCCAGCCATCATGAAAATCTCTTGAACTTGCCCCTGCTTTTGCTGCTATGACGTTACCAAATTTTATAAAATTCTTTGTAGAAATTATTTCTATACATTAGTACAACTCCAATATTCTCCCCCACTATGCCAACCTGAATTATTATGAAACTGGCCTCTCTTTTGCCTATCAAGCTAGTTTTCTGATTACAAGCATTAATGATAAGATAAAGAAAAAAACAGCTATTAATAATATAGCAAAACTGGAATGAAATGAACTGTTAAAATGAAAATTTTGATTTTTAGATCAGAATCTTATAGTAATCTTGTGATTAGAAAGAGATACATCCCTGCACCTTATTGCAAAATGGCCAAGATTTCCAAACTCTATTCTCAGTCTAAAAAAAGAAGTTTTCTTTCCCACCAGTCTTTGGTAGGTGACATTTCAGGCTGTGCACTAAATCCTTTATAAAAATCAGAAAGTTTCATAACAAAGGCACTTCAGATGCTTTAGACAAGCAATTAAGAACTCACAATCTTAAAACTTCAATCCTAAATCACAGATGGCATAATTAAGGAGAGATAAATGCCATTATATAATGCTGGCTAAACTGCATTCTCAATAGACCTTGAATAATGCTCAGGAACTTTCAGGAGTCAAAACCTTACTTGATTCCATGCTAACCTTCACCAACAATGCCTGTATATAAATCTAAGGATCTCAACAAGTGAGGGTACTAAGTTGACTTTTTCTGGCTCTGGAAGCTAAGGAGACCTAGAATTGATTAGTACATAGGGTGGGAAACTCCCAAGGCTGTAGACTAGACTGAAAAGTTGAAAAATATTCCAGCAAACAATAGCAATAGCAGTAGACTTATATACCGCTTCATAGGCCTTTCAGGCCTCTCTAAGCGGTTTA